AATCAATTCAAGAAAGAGGAGAATCCACAAAAATAAACCTGTTGTTCGAGGCTCGAAATCAAATGTTACGGGAATCAAAATCCGATCTCCACCGTTCAAATCAAAGAACAAGATGTTACGAACACTCAGTCGAAATTTCAGCCCGATCCAACGGTTAACGAATCGTTAACATGATTTGAAGTTGGCTGGCCGGAATAAAAATCTGCAACAAAACAAATACTTTTCTTCTCTCTTCTCTCTTGATGAAAGCTCTCTCAAAAACCACTCTTATGTGCTTAAATCTTTCAAAGACTTGTATCAATGAGCATAGAATAATTCTCCAACGTTGTCCTATTTATATATCATAAGTGGTGCTTTCTCTTAAAGCCAAAACCCACTCAAAATAGGAATAAACATCGAATCTAATTCCGAATAGGAATGGAAACCAAAAAAGAATAGGCTTAGGCCATTGGGCCTTTGGCTGGACAATATAGGCATGTGCCCAACAAACTCCCATTCCAGCCAAGGGGCCAAATGCGTCTTCAAGTAGAGGAACTATTGACAGGCTTCATGCCTGCCAATTTTCTGCAAAACGCATGCTTATCTGCAAGCTTAACTACGAAGTCCTCAGACTGCTCCATATAAATCTCCTCATTTAAATCACTATGAAGAAAAGCAGTCTTGACATCCATCTGCTCAACTTCTAAATCTAGACTTGCGGCTAAGCCTAGAACCACATGAATAGAAGACATCTTTACAACAGGGGAAAAATTTCATCAAAGTCAACTCCCTTCTTCTGGCCAAAACCTTTAACAACTAACCTCGCCTTGTACCTAGGCGCAGAGGTATGATTATCTTGCTTTATTCTGAATATCCATTTGTTAGATAAAGCTCTCTTACCTTTCGGTAATTTCACTAACTCATATGTGCCATTCTCATGGAGTGACTTTATCTCATCTTCCATGACTTCGATCCACTGATCTTTGTGAGTATCTTGCATGGCTTCATCATAATTCTAGGTTCTCCCATATCAGTCAAAAGTACATACTCATTAGAAGGATAGCGCATGGGTTTTTGCTTCTCCTTTGTAGATCTTCTAGGAGAGGTTTCAGGAGCATTCGAAGTAGTTACCTGAGCAGGAATTGGTTGTTGATCAACCATAACTTCATCAACTGGAGAATCCATAACATCTACACCATGATGATCATTTTGATCTTGATCATTATCTTCATTATTGTCTTGGGTTCCTTCATGTGCAATAGGTGCCTTAGCAATAGAAACTGGATCAATATTAACTAAGCTTTCATTACTCCGAGAATCTATCTTCTCAGCTTTGTCAAAATCTTCAATAGTCTGGTCTTCAAAGAATATTGCATCACGACTTCTAATAAGTTTATCGTCAACTAGATCGTAAAAACGATACCCAAATTCATCTTGGCCATAACAGATAAAAATGCACTGCTTAGTTTTGACATCCAGTTTCGATCTCTCATCTTTAGTAATATGCACACAAGATTTACACCCAAAAACTCTCAGGTGATCATAAGAAACATCTTTGGCAAACCAAACTCTGTATGGGACATCACCATCCAAAGCAATAGCAGGAGACAAATTGATAACATAGGCAACAGTGTTAAGTGCTTCCGCCAAAATGCATTTGGAAGTTTAGCTTCTGAAAGCAAGCATCTAACTCTCTCAACTAGAGTTCTATTCATCCTCTTTGCCAAACCGTTCAATTGAGGCGTCTTGGGTAGAGTTTTCTGATGACGAATTCCTTGTTCCTTGCAATAGTTATCAAAGGGACCACAATATTCACCACCATTATCAGTGCGAATACATTTTAATTTCTTCCCCGTATGTCTCTTAGCTAAGGCCTGAAATTCCTTAAACACGCCAAGTGCTTGATCTTTAGATTTCAAAGGATACACCCAGAGCTTACGAGAATGATCATCAATGAAGGTCACAAAGTAAAGTGCACCACCTTTTGACTTTACTTTAAAAGGACCACACAAATCAGAGTGTACTAGCTCTAATAAATCGGGCTTTCTTGAGGGAGGATGGCTATGAAAGGAAACCCTTTTCTGTTTGCCAGCTAAGCAATGTATGCACCTTTGCAGCTTTGCTTGTTTTACTCCAGAAAGCAAACTTTTCTTAGCCAAACACGTAATCCCTCTCTCACTCATATGACTCAATCTTCGATGCCACAATTCTGACAAACTATCACTTTCCACCAGATTTATTGAGTCATTAAGAATAGAGCCTTGTGTCACATATAATTGACCAGACTTGACTCCTCGAGCTACTACTAACGAGCCCTTGGTGAGCTTCCATTAGCCGTTAAAGAGAGCATTATGGTAACCTTCATCGTCTAATCTTCCTGCGGAGATCAAATTGAAAGGAAAGTCTGGAGCATGCTTCACATCTTGAAGAACTAACGTTGAACCATTATTAGTTTTCAAACAAACTGTGCCAACACCAAACATCTTAACTTCACTGGCATTGCCCATCTTTAACACTCTAGAATCAACATGTGTATACGATGAGAAAAAATCTTTTCTTGGTGTGACATGTGAGGTAGCTCCAGAATCTACTATCCAGCTCGTCTCATGGGATACCAAATTGATGACGTTTTCATCATAAGCAAAAAAAAGGTCATCTTGAACTATAGCAGCAACATTGTTCTCGTTATTTTCAACTTTCTTTCCTTCTTTAGTGTCTTGATTCAACTTGCGGCAAAACCTTTTGATGTGTCCTTTCTTGCCACAGTGGTTGCATTTAACATTATAGTATTTGGACCTTGACTTACTTCTACTTTTACCTCTATTCCTTGATCCTTTTGTTCTATCTCTCCCCCGGTCTTCTGTAACCAAGATATCTGCTTGTGAGGATGAACCCTGCGATTTTCTCCTTACTTCCTCGTTCAACACACCACTCTTGGCATATTCCATGGTCACCTTACTTCCAGGAGCTGAATTTGTCAAAGAAACACGAAGAGTTTCCCAAGAGTCCGGCAGAGTATTAAGAAGCCAAAGTCCTTGTATCTCATCATCAAAATTAACCCCCATTCCAGATAGCTAATCAAGGACGCCCTGAAAATCATTTATGTGATCAAGGATAGGGCTGCCTTCCTTTGTATTTAAAGGTCATCAATTGCTTTAGCAGAAACAATTTGTTGTTCCCGGTTTTTGAAGCATAAAGAGTCTCTAGCTTTTCCCACAATGATCTCGCATGTATCTCGTTCACAATATGGTTGCGAACATTATCTTCAACCCATTTTTGTATATATCCACATACTTGTTGGTGCTCGAAATCCCAATCTTCATCGGATATACTCTCGGGTTTATGAGCTGAAAAAACGGGTAGATGCATCTTCTTCACGAACAACAAGTCTTTCATCTTGCTTCTCCAAACATTATAATTTCTCCCATTTAAACATACCATCTTGCTCATATTCGCCTCCATTCCGTAATAACCCGGATAAATAACCAAGGCTCTGATACCACTGTTGTGTCGAGGAAGAGGCAAATCCGAAAATAAAGAAGATAAAGAACACCAAATTTTAACATGGAAAACCCTTCAAATTGAAGGTAAAAACCACGGGATCACAAAGATCCAAAAAGCTCCACTATAACAATAAGAGGGTTACAAAAGTTCTCCAAATTGGCTACTCAACAAGGGCCAAACACGGAGCAACAATAGCAACAAGAGCAACAACTAATCAATTGAAGAAAGAGTATAATCCACAAAAC